TGTAAAATAATTCGAAAAAAGACTAAAGTTATGCAATTACTTTATAATTAAAGCAAAGCTTTAATATTTTCCCAAAAATATCTCTATACTTCTATTTCATCTGCAATTATAAGTACATTTTTACAAAATGAGAGTTACCTTCCTTAATTATTATATGTATACGTTAATTGTTAAAAGTCTGTACGTTATATAAAATTTGGATAGAAAATATCATTAAGTAATCATTAGTAATTCTTTCGCGAAATTGCTCGTTGCTCGTCCTCACACTCGACCGGTTATACGCGCGAACGATCTCTCGCGCGCGATAAAAAAAGAAGAAAAAAAGAGAAGAAAGAAAGGCGAAGAAGAACACCGTCCCCGTTTCCGTGCCCTCTTTGCAGTCTGCGGAAGACGCGCGACCTAAAATCGCATTTGAATAAAGCAATTTGTGCACGCGCCGTAATCCAATTCGACTCTCTCGCTAGTTTTCGCTACGCGGAAGCACCGATAAATCAACCAGTTGCGCGGCGCATCGGCCTCAACACGCCCCTACGATGTAGCCATATGGCTTAATTTCATTCGTAAAGCGTGTGTGGTACTTCGAGAGCCCGGAGGGAAAGAAAAAAGCGTTTTGCGTATGAGGGTTGACATCGCAATGTTGCGGGACCGCCGATTATATTTGCTCGATTACCAATAATAGAATGATTTTCGCGATATCGCATTAAGATTGAAATAATCCTACGGTCAGTTTGTATGTATATACATTTAAATTAGAGCTCTTGTGTATTATGTGCGTGTGCAAGCTCGAAGATCGAATTAGATCTCATAGAGAAAGGCTCCCTTCACAGTATTTACAAAAAATTATTTATTTGCAAAAATAAGATTGTATAATATTTTATAGCAATCTGATAAAATGTATATGTGTCTGTATAAGATGTTTAGAATTCAAGATTTATTAGATAAAAATATAAATAATATCAAGCAAATGATCTTTTTTTTGTACAATTAATGCCTTAATTGTACAAAAAAAAGATCATTTGCTTGATATTATTTATCATAAAATTACATTCACTCGAGATTAAAATGAGATTTTTTCAAGAACAAAGTCGATCAATTGTTTACTTTCAATTTAGAGTAAAAAATCTGACAAACTATTTTATCGATTTTAACGCGAGTTTAGCTCAATGTCAGATTTTTTTATATAATGTAAGGCGTAAATAATGTATTTTTTGTTTCGATACTTGAATTTGCACCTACTTGGTTTTTATCTTACAATTAGAGAGAAAGCACGAAATATCGTGCGGTATGTCCCTAATCTAAAGCGCGTTTAAGTGCAGCTTAGACACGCTTATGATTCACATTAACGACTCAAAGCGCGCGATGACGTGTGCGAAGCAGCAGTAGTCGAAGCGCGGCGGCGGCGCATCCGAGGCTGCGCGAGGCGCCGTTAAAGGGGTAATCGTTATAAATCGTTGTTAGAACGTTCCAATCCTCAGATCCACGGGGATTGATGGATCTTTATCCGCATTAACGTCCGACTGATAGAAATAAACGTCGCCCCGTTCCACTTGCGCGTTCGTAATTATCCCCTTGCTCTCTCCCGCACTCGTCGTCGCGAAGCCTTCAGCCCTCACCACTTTCGACTGCGGCCGTTTGTCGCAACGAAAAATCAAGATCTCTTTACTCTGCGAGATCACACGAATGGACACTCGCACACACATATAAATCCATATTTTTCAGATCATGCAGAATGGAAGAAACGAAATTTCGTCGGTGCTGTAATATCAAAATATAATGTTGCTATATCGCGCGTTGCTGTAACGATACACGGCATGGAGATAGATATATTCGCCGCCAAGGGAACAAAGAAGATAAAAATCACTAAAAGTGGATTTACCGGTAACTCTCCTTAACATAATGGCATTATCGGAACGAAGTTCTAAACCCGATTTATGAACATTATTTTATGTATGAAACTTTGAGCTCCGCGAATACGTGTTCTGCATCTCAAAGTACGTTCTGAATCGTCGTACGGTGGTTCTGTGAGACGCGAATATTCCATAATCGAAATCGCGCGTAAAAAAAGACACATGTAAAATTTACTACCTAAAACATCCACAATGGAAGAACGAGGCGAGAAGAAAGGAAAGAAACAGAGATAGAGAAAGAAAGAGAAAAGAGGTAGGGAGACGGAGAGAGCAATCCTCCCCTGAATTTCACACAAATCGGGATTTCAACCTGTTCAGAGCCCGTCGATAAACGTTTCGCTGCAGAGCGAGAGTTTCCGATAGAAGCAGGAGACAAGAACGTAAAGTAGACAGTCCAAGGCAGGTGAGATAGCTACGCTATACGGAAACAGCGCTAAGAAACATCGAACAGCCAAGAAAACCATGGCAGAAGCAGTTTGCGATCGTGATGTGGGATGTGTTTTGTTGTGTGTGTGTATGTATGTATATATGTGTGTGCGTGTGTGTGTGTGCGTGTAAATGTGGCGCGGATACGCGCAAGTCGCGCGCGTACATGCCGGAAAAGGTGTACAACGGACGAGTGGCGGTCGAGAACATCCATTCAGCCGAACATTTAGAAGGAAACCAGCTCTGCAATCGCGAGACGTCGTCACGGCCGCGGCGCGGTGCAACTTCCGACACCGGCGTCGCGGAAAAGTGGCCCCTCGCGCGCGTCTCTCCGGGAGAAAAGGAAAAAGAGAGAGAAACTGAGAGAAAATCCGTTCGCTCGCGAATGACGACGATCTCGATCTATCCGAACTAAACATCGGAAGAACAAAAAACTGAGAGAAAAAGAGAGAAATGGAAAATAAAGAGAGGTTTGGGAGAAAAAAGAAAACAGTGAGAGAGAGAGAGAGAGAGAGAGAGAGAGAGAGAAAGAGAGAGAGAAAGAGAAAGAGTGACAGCCATCTCACCGCCCGCGCCACAGCTCAAAGCACTCACTAAACGTCACGGGGGAGCACGGACAGAGAGGACAGCCGATTGGTGGTGGTGGTGGTGGTTGGTCAGTGTCGGTCAATTGTTGCTGTCTACGTTCAACGGGGCAAAGTGTTTATAGGCCTGGGACGTGCTTTCGATAACCTACAAAGAGCACTGGCTCCTTCTCCGGCCCGTGTTGTTCGCAGTACGGCCGTCCGCGTAGCGCCCGGACCGACGTACGCCGTGGTGCCACCTGACAGACTCCGGGAAATTCGAGAAAACGGCATTTCCTTCGGCCCATGCGCGAGAACTTTAATCGAATTTCGGCGTTGCAGCGCCGCCGACAACGGCGAGGGGGCGGCTTCGCTCCGCTGCACGTGATCAACTCCACGGGATCGCGGAAATTTGAATTTTGCCGCGCGCGCGCGCGCGCGCGACCGCCCGATTCTTGATTTCTTTTCTCCACGGGTGATTCCACGATGTCGAAGGATCTGCATCGCGACGATCATTGCAACGACTAACTTCCATTTGGTATCCCGCATACCTTTGTGATTCTCATTCTTCTCTTATAGTTTCTCTTAGTTTCTCCAAGATGAATGTGCCGCCCGATCCAATCATCTCGTGTACGAAAAAAGTTAGAAAGCGTTAGAAAGAAGATCGGAAATCCGCCACTTTTTCCTTTAGCTACTTTTTCCACGCTTTATAGCATACGCTTTATAGCATTACCACGATTTATACCCATACAGCACAGAAGCTTGCAGCAATATTGCAGCAAAGTTGCATCATTGCATATTGCAATGCAATGCTTCAGAAACATTGTTAAAATATAGATTTGCAACATTATTTTAATAATGTTGCAGCAATATTTAAAAGAAATGTGAAAAGAATCTACCACGATTTTGTGTTTAAATATTGTGTGTACGCTTACGCACATCTTATTATCATTAAGTTTATTAAATACCAATTAATTTTACATAACAGCACATGATATTCTTTATTTCCCGTTTTCATGATTGTACTACAATCATCTATACAACTGAGATCAACATAATAATATTTCGTATAGTATCATTCCGTTTTCTTTCGCGCGTGTATAATCTCAGTAAATAACTCAATTAATAAGCTTCGAAAAGTGATACGTACACTTGTCCAATGCGCGCAAAGAGAACAAAAAAATTAGCCAAAATATTATATTTTGTACTTTAATGCATGTAAATTTTATATTTACAAATGAAATATATTTTAATTCTATATGTATTATATCTTCTTGACAACTTCTATTCAGCTGATCACTAGCATAGATCATCTGTTACTGTAATAAATGTTTACAGATCATCACGAAGCAACAGTTCCCGATCGATTACAAAAGTTAAGCAGGTTCGACTAGGTACATAGCTTGGATGGGTGACCGCTTAGAAATACAAACTTATAAAATTAGTTTCCAAACCTATTTTTTTAATCATAATTTTGTCATGTGTATTTTCTTTTATTTTCTGATATAAAATGCTGATTAATAAAATTTTGCGATTTTTCTCCGAATATTCCTGTGCTTGTGCATTTTTCCAACTATATTACATTGCAATGCTGCTGTGATATTTCGTTGTAATATTACAAAAAGCGGCCATCTTAATGTTGCCGCAATCATACAATAACGATGCAGCAATATTTCGCAACCAATTTGCAATATTGCAATGTTTCAATGAAACTATTCTGCAATATATCAGCAATCTTTTTGTGCTGTATGGGTATTGTTACATGCGTAATTATAGTGGCTTAACTATTGTTACAGAAAGTATTTTATATTTACCTTCAAAAAACAGTCTGCACATCGCAATTTACTCATGTACCGTAATGAATACGCGCAACGATTTTTTGAAAAACGAATTTTTGAATATTTAGAAGAATATCGAAAGCTTAATTTGTACGATAGACCGCACGGTGACTTTATGAAAATAAAATTAAATTGGCAATGATCGAGATTTTAATAGTAATATTAAATTCTTAATCAGGGAGATATATGTGAAATCCCCTTTTGTAAAATACATGTAAGAAAAACGGCATTAAAACTTTGTCGATCTTAAAAATATGATCTGTTACCTCACGTCTCGCGCGACCTCGCTCTTCAATTTCTGCGCGGTCCGACATGCGTCCCACATTTACAACGGGCGTTGAAGCTCCGACACATAAATTAACACGCAACGACTGTGGGTTTAAGCGAGCGGAACCGGTTTTTGTGGCCATCTCCGGACTCTCACGCGAAGCGTCCGCAGAAGCATATGAGTGGCGCCATCTGACAGCGCCATGAAATCAATCTTTCGCGCGCGAAGTGAAACGTGACTCGACATCCCCGACGAATTCTCGACAATCGTGGACGAATGAAGTCTGAAACATTTTATTATCATTAGCCACCCGATGATGTCCCGAATTGGACTACAAATTTATCTCCGGTTGCGAACGGCAATGATGACACCGAAATATTAGTGTCGAAATTAATCGCGTCGCATTTATCGTTTATGAGTTCCTCTTAATTTCACGATTTTCCGTAAAATCATTGATTTACGTTCCCGAAGAATACTTTTTCGAACTAAATCTTTAATCGCTTCAAAAAAGTTCAGAAAAAATCTCAAAATTCTCCAAAAATACGAAACATAAATTTTATTTTCATTAGCCGCCCAATAATGTCCCGAATTGGACTACAAATTTATCTCCGACTATGAACGACAATGATGATATCGAAATATTGCATCGAAATTAATAGCGCCGCATTTATCGTTCATGAGTTAAATTTCTCTTAATTTTACGATTTTCCGTAAAATTATTGCATGTTCCCGAAGAGTATCTTTTTAGAACTAAATCTTTAGTCGCTTTAAAAAATTTCAGGAAAAAATCTAAAAATTCTCCAAAAACATGAAACACAAATTTTACGAAAGACCACGAATGAATTAACAAAGAATGCGTAGACTGTAATACGCAGTTAATATTTGACCAATTCAAAGCTTTGACTTCATTATTGTCGTATCCTATTGAAAATAAATTTAGAATATTATCGCGTGAATATATTAGAATTTAAAAAAATTCGATCTTTATTCACGATTACCGAGAATTCGCGCGATAAATCGTACATCAGCGCCGCGTCACCCATGTTCTTCGCCTCTCTTTGTAGAAACTGAAGATAGCAGAATTAACAGAGAAATCAATGCGGAAGCTGAAGCGCATTCGCATTTGGCGAAGACATCATTGCGCAGACGCGGGTGGGAAAGGAACAAATACAATCGTATTTTCTTTCTCTTTCTCTCTCTTTAGCCTAGGCAGAGAGAAGCGTGAGAGCGACCGTCCTGGTCTTTTTCGTGGGACCGCCAATCTCCCCTGTAGAGTATAGCGCCACACATTTTTTCGATAGAGGAACTACGTATTACGTCTATTTTATAATATTGTCGATAAATCATAGCATCGAAAGTGGACGTGGTGCGTATCCGTGCTACATTCACTTTCCGAAACGCAACACATGTAAGAGACACGCGCATGCTGGCACACACATTAAACAAGCTCACGTCCATGTGCGTTCCGTATCTCCGTGCATTACCGTTCGTTTTTCGTTTCTAGAGTTAACGTTGTATTTAATTAAAATTAAAAATTATGTTTTATTGAATTAATGTATAAAAATAAATTACTAAATATTAATCATAAATATATTTTAAACATATATAATTTGTTTCAGGTAAAAGGGTTCTCAGAGATTAAAATCAATAAATATCCAGGCATTTTGTCTAAAATTTGAAAAATATTGTTAAGAGAAAAATAAACTTTTTTAGAAACTTATTTGGAATAAAAATTCAGCTTAAGGGGATCCTAAACCCGAGATTAAACTCCAAAAATTCGCTGTTTTACCGACGATTTGTGAGTATGTATGCGTGCGATATTGATGTAGTAGTGTGTAGTGATGTGTTCATATTTACTACCATATCGATATCTCACGCACACATACGTAACAAATTTTCAAGAACATACAGCTTTTTTATTAGGCATCCAAGCCTAATTTTATGAACTCAACATTGTTTGCACATGTAATTCGTAGTTCCGGCTGATATCATTTTGTACCAACAAACTGCCAAATTGTTGTACGAAGCAAATATTGGCACATGTGACAGTTCTAGACGCCATGTTGGACTAAGAAAAGGTCCCATACAGCACAGAAGTTTGCAGCAATATTGCAGCAAAGTTGCAACATTGCTTATTGCAATGCAATGCTTCAGAAACATTGTTCAAATATAGATTTGCAACATTATTTTAATAATGTTGTAGCAATATTTAAAAAGAAATATAAAAGAATCAACTACGATTTTGTGTTTAAATACTGTGTGTATACGCTTACGCACATTTTATAATCAGTAAGTTTTATTAATTATCAATTAATTTTACATAACAGCACTGCATGATATTCTTCGTTTCCGTTTTCATGATTGTACTACGATCATCTGTACAACTGACAATGAGATCAACACAATAATATCTCGTAAAGTAGCATT